TCTGGTCATGAGGCCTATGGGGCCAAGGGTCAGACAGCAGTGTTTCCCCCAAAGTACCTGAATGACCAAGCAGGAAGCCTATTGTCCCTCTCCAGAAATGGCATCTAAGTCTGGCTCAAGCTGTCCTGGCCCTTTCAACCTGAGCTTAAGTGGTCTAGTGTGATATAGCTACACAATAGTGTTTCTCCCAAACTACCTGAATGGCAAACCAGAAAGCCTCTTATTCCCTTCCAGAAATAGCATCTCAGACCAGCTTGAGCTGTCCTTTGGCTTGAGCTTAAAGGGTCCCACGTGGTATATACAGACAGCAGTGTTTCCAAAGTACCCGTGAAATTGGTTCTCCTGTCACTTGACAATGGGGTAGCAGCTGGGGGGTGAAACTGTAGCTCCTCAGTCTGGCAGGGATTTGGTATCTCAATGGCCGGGGTGTAAGTGTGCCTGTGCCACCACCTTTGGCAGACACTGTGGAAGTCATGGCTGGAAGATGCTGCCAAGCTGGCCATGACATACAGAGCTTGTCATCTTGCAGCAGAGTGATGGTAAGGTCCCCAATGAGCTGCATCTCATGAGAAGAGCTCGCCTCACGAGAAGAGCCACATTTTGAACAATAAACTCTAGAAACCACTTATATTAAGAGAGAATATAGAAATTATTTTATACTAATACAGATATGAGCTTAAAATTACCTTTGGATTGTTCTCTTTGTCAAATTTATTAAATATAAAATAGATTGTTGTTGTTGTTGTTGTTATGTGTCATTGAGTTGCCTGTGACTCATAGCAACCTGATGAACAACAACCCTAAATCCTATTCTATCTTGTGCCCATCTTATTATCTCTGACACACCCTTACCCCCACTACCCCCATCACTGAATCAATCCCTCTCATCGAGGGTCTTCCTCTATTGCACTAACTCTCCACCCTCCCAAGCATGACTTCCTTTTCCCAGGGCTGGTTCCTTTTTTGCAACATGTCCAGAGTGTGTCAGACGAAGCTTCAGAATCCTTGCCTCCAAGGAGCAGCCTGGTTTAACCCTCTCCAGGATAAACCTGTTCATTTTCTTCACAGTTTATGGTATGTTTAATACTCTTCTCCAACACCACAGCTCAAAGACATCAATTCTCCTTCTATCATCTCTAGTCACTGTCCAGCTCTCTGATGCATAGCAAGTGATTGCACAGACCATGGCCTGTATCAGGTGCATCTTAGTCTCCAGACTGACATCATTGCTCTTAAGTACTCTGAAGAGGTCTCTGATAGCAGATTTTCCCAATATAATACATATTTTAATTTCCTGGATGTTGATGCCAAAAGTGTTGATTATGGAGCAAAGCAAACTAAAGCTGTCAGTAATCTCAATTTCTTCACCATCCATAATGATGCTGCCAATTGGCCCACTGGTAAGAATCTCTGTTTTGTTGATATTCAACTTCTTCAATACATATTGAAGGGTGTGGTTCTTGACCTTCTGCAAAAAGCACTTCATGTCTTCCTCAGTTTCAGCAAGCATGGTTGTGTCATCTGCATAATGCAGATTGTTGATGAGCCTACCTCCAATTCTGATGCCGCGTTTCTCCTGATACAGCCCAACCTCTTTGATAATCTGTTCTGCATATAAATTGAAAACATATGGAGATAGGACACATCCCAATTTTGAACTATGCAGTGTTTCCTTGCTCTATTCTGATGACTGCCTCCTGGTCCAAATATAGGTTTTGCTAAAGCATGATCGAGTGTTCTGGGATTCCCATTCTTCAAAGAGTCAGCAACAGTTTGTTGTGTTCCACACAGTCAAACACCTTTGCATAATCAGTGAAACACAGTTAGATATTGCTCTGGTACTATTCCCTGCTTTCCACCAATACTCATCTACCGTAAGCTACAATATCCCTCGTACCACGGCCTCTTCTAAACCCAACCTGTACTTCTGGCATTTCTCTGTTGATGTGCTGATCCCATCGTTTTCGCATAACCTTCAGCAGAATCTTGTATCAGTATTAGTGATATTGTTTGATAATTTCCACACACTCTGTTGGATCACCTTTCTTTGGAGCGGGAACAAATACAAATCTCTTTCAGTCAGTTGGCCAGGTGGTTGTTCTTCAGATTTTGTGGCACAATTTGGTGAGCACATATAGGGCAGCATCTGTTTGTTGGAATATATCAAGTGCTGAGGCCTTGTTTTTTTTCCAATTCTTTCAGAGCAGTGAACTTCCTCCTTCATCATCACAGGCTCTTGCTCATATGTTGTTTCATTAAATTCTTCTGTGTCAGCCAATTCCTTTTGGTACAATGATTCTATTCTCTTTCTATCTTCTTTTGATACATCCTGGATCATTTAATATTCTGACCAAATTATCCTTAAATATTGCAATATGAGGCTTGAAATTGTTCTTTAGTTCCTTTAGTTACTCTAGTTCTTTGCACATTTCACTGTAATACTTCACTTTGTCTTTCCATACTGCCCTTTGAAATCTTCTGTTCAGATCCTTAGTATCTTGATTTCTTCCCTTTGCTTTGTCTAGTTGGCACTCTAGTGCAATACTCAGAGTCTCCTCTGACATCCATTTTGGTCTTTTCTTTCTCCTCTTTCTTTGTAAAGACCATTTGCATTCTTCCTGGATGATATTCTTGATATCCTTCCACAGCTCATCTGATCTTCATTCATTAGTGTTCAAGGCCTCAAACTTGTTCCTGAGATGGTTTTGAAATCCAGATGAATAGAGTCAACATATTTTTGTTCCTGTGAATTTGATATAATTTTCCTTAGCTTCAACTTGACTTTGCGTATGAGTAGTTACTACAAGAATTAAAAAATATGTCTGGGAAAAACAGTGTAGGTTTCTAAAGAAGAAGAGTGTTCCTCAGAAGGAAAGAGAATTAGGTTTTGTGTTATGAACTTTGAACGTATTATTAGGAGGAACTAATGCTTAGAAAATGACATCATGCTTTAAAAAGTAGAATGTCGACAAAGGAGATCCTCAGTGAATTGGATTGATGCATTGACTGCAATAAGAGGTAATCACAGTATAGATTTTGAGGATGGTGCAGGACCAGGTAGGGTTTCTGTGCCTCTTTGTAAGATCTGATTCAACAGCATCCAATAGCAATATACAAATACATTATGTAATTATAATAATTAATATTTCTTTTTTGTTACTTACTGTCAAGCTATAACATAGTTGGCCCTCCAGCGGATTCAGAAGCAGTAAATCTCATGGGAGAGGATCTTTCTTACATGGAGCAGTTGGTGGATTCAATCCATCTGCCTTTGAGTTGACAGCACAACTCCTTACTACTATCCTACCAGAGTTCCCTATTCAATATACAATAAGATTGTATACTACTTTATATTTTTAATATTTATTGAGAAAATAGATGACTAAATAATGTCTAAAAGTGAAATAAAAAAATCATGTAAATACATATGCTTATTTTAAATGTAAACATAATTATTTGTAATTTGATAGCTATACAATTTTTATTGGAAATTGGACAGAGCGGAGTTTAGGGCTGTTGTACATAGGGTCGCTATGAGTCGCAGGCAACTCGACGGCACATAACAACAACAACAACATTATAAATAAGGCTTTGGTAGTGTTGGTAGTTTTGTTATGTTACACACAACACTAATGACTAAGTGCTAAGAAGTTGTGCTGCCAACCTAAAGGAAATGGTTCAAAGCCACCATAAGCTCCAGGGGGGAAAGATGAAAAATTTCCTTGGCAATTTACTGCCTCTGAAAACTCACTCAAACCAAGGAATAGGTTCTGAATCAATGATGTTGTTATGTGCCATCGAGTTGCTGTGACTCATAGGGACCCTATGTACAAGAAACACCATTCTATCCTGTGCCAACCTCTCTGTCTTAAACTACACATTCATTCCCACCATTCCACTCACAGAGTTGATCCATCTCATTGAGGGTCTTCCACTCCTGCACCGTCCTTCCTTCCACTCTCCCAAACATGATGTCCCTCTCCAAGGACCAGTCCCTCCTTGCAACATGCCCAAAGTATGCCAGATGAAGCTTCAGAATCCTTGCCTCCAAGCAGCATTCTGGCTTCACGTTTTCCAGGAAAAACCTGCTTGTTCTCCTAGCAGTCCATGGTATATTCAACGCTCTTCTCCAGCACCACAGCTCAAAG